CTTGGGCTAGTGTTTTCCTTTCTGGAGAAGAGGAGGAAGAACTGGGCCCTGCCAGACTGGACATAGACAGCACATGGGAGGTGCTCGCATGACTCGCTTCTCCTCCTGTGCTGTTGCTGGGTGTTCTGTGGCTGGGGCCTGGGTGCTCTGTGGCTGGGCTGCATTGTTCAGCAGGCTGCCGCCCTCTCCCCCACCAGAACCAGTATATCTTCCTGCACAGCTGCATCCTGAGCAGGATTCTGCAAGGGCCCTCGGGCACCTCTGAGTGAGTCTGGCTCCCCTTGACCTCTCGTGGCTCCTGTCCTGAGCCAAGCAGAGAAGGCAGAGCATCAGCTGGGCAGCCCCATGTGCCTTCTCCCCTCATCTCTCCAACCCAGGACTGGACCCATCTCTGTGGCCAACTTCGCGCAGGCGTGTGCCAGGAGGGCGGCCAATGCCAATGCTGGCTTCCTGAGGGAGTACAAGGTATGCGTTACGCTGGGGACAGGTGGCACGGGTGAGCAGCTCTCCCGGGCCTGGCCTCAGGGTGCCCATCCCCCAGCTCCTGCTGCAGGCTATCAAGACGGAGGCTGGCTCTTCAGTGTCCCCTTCTGACTATGAGCAGGACGGCACTGTCCCCCGTGAGTTCTGCTGGGGACCGGGGTCTGAGGATGGGATGGGGACTGACGGCCTGCAGCCTCACCCTCAGCACCTTCCACAGGCGCCCGCTCCCAGTCTCATTGCTCTGCCATGAGCGCAGAGAGCTCCGCTGATGCCGTCCCTGAAGCCTGGCTCTTCCCTGTGAGACGATGCGGGTGGCCCTGTGCCCATTTGTACTTCTCAGGCTGGGGCTGTTGGTTTGGGGGTTCCTGGAGCTGTGGGGTGGGCAGGAGATACCTCAGTCCCTGGGAGCCAACAAGTTGTGCTCTGCAGGGTGGGCCTTTGGGCCGTGACCACGTGGTGCTGACGGGGCCTGCGAGGCCAGAGGAGCTCTGGGAGCTTGTGTGGGAACACGGAGCCCACGTGCTAGTCTCCGCAAGCCCACCTGACACCCAGGAGAAGGTGAGGAGTGCAGAGACAGAGCATGGGTGGGGAAGCTGGGCCAAAGCGGGAGGGGTGTGTGCTACTATCTGTGACCAGGGGTCTGCAGAAACCTGAGGAAGCTGAGCTCTGATTTGGTCCCAGCCACAGGCGTTCTGGCCAACAGAGATGCAGCCCGTCATCGCAGGCATGGTGACTGTACACTGGGTGGTGGACAGCAGCACTGCCAGCTGGCCCTGTACTCTCTTCAGGGTCACACATGTAGGTGCTGATGCCACAGGATTTGGGGTGGTGGGCGGTGGGGGCCGATCCTGTGCTGGCTTCCCCCTGCCCTCCAGGCACCAATGCCAATCTGGTCTTTGCCTCAGGGGGAGAGCGGCATGGAGAGGCTGGTGCAGCGGCTGCAATTCCCACACCAGGAGCCTGGGCACGAGCTGCCTGCTGCTGCCCTGATGCCCCTCTTGGCTGCTGTGAGCCAGTGCTGCTTCCGGGGCAAGAACAAGAAGCCCAGTACACTACTCAGCCACTGCAGGTGCTGGAGGACAAATCGCCCTGAGCCCTGCTTGGGTTAGGGATCCAAAAGATAGTCTCCCAGTGCCTTGACTTCTCTTGCCCTGTCCTCAGGGATAGGGTAGGAATTGATCCCCTTCTCTGTCCGGACCCAGCCTGGCGGATTGGCCACGTGCCCGGGAGCTTTTCTCAGCCCCTGTGCCCAGGATTGGTTTCCCCATATCCTTGGATACCTGCATCCCCTTCCCCTCCAGGTACCACATCCAACTCTAGGTCTGTTGCAGCAAGGGTGCAGCCCAGCTGAGCACCTTCCTGGCCATGGAGCAGCTGCTGCAGCAGGCAGGGGCCGAGCGCACTGTGGATGTCTTTAAAGCAGCCCTGCAGCAGTCACAGGCCTGTGCCCTCATGACCCCCACTCTGGTGAGAGGCGACCAGGGAAAGGGTGGGGAAAGAAGACGTTTGCCACAGCCACAGGCAGCCCCTGGCCCGTGCCACCCCTGTCACCACCAGGTGGCGCCATGGGCCACTGTGTTCTTGCCTAGAGGGTGTCTTAGGGACTGGCAGACCCCGGGGCTTTTCCCTGTCTGGTTTGGGCCGGAAGAGTGAGCCTCCTTATCCTTGTCTACCCACAGGAGCAGTATATCTGCCTCTACAACTGTCTGAACAACGCACTGGTGGATGGGCTTCCCTGAGTCCAGAAGCAGCAGTGCCCTGTCAGGCCTGACCCAGCAAGTCCCCTGGCGGGGCTTCTAGGAGGGCAGCCTCTACTGGGCACCATGGTGGGAAGGGCCAGGGGCAAGGAATAAAGATACATGCTTGAGGCTAAGGCTGAGTGCTCATCTGTCTTCTTCTGACATGGGGCCCAACCCAAGGGCCTTCTGGACACCTATAGCAGAGATAGGAGCTGGGACCTGAGGTCGAGCTGAGTTAGCTGAGCCCAGCTGGTAGGCTGTTGGCTACTCCCCCTCATCCCCAGTTTCCTCGGACTTCAGTCTCTCCACCTCTAGTGTCTTGGTGCTAAGCCCTGGCATACATTAGATTCATTCTGCTCTTCACTTCCGTCCTTTTGCATTCCCAGCTCTCTGCTTTTTTGCCCTCTTCCTTTCTCCCCACCATATAGCAGGGAGGTGGGAGAAAATACCAGGGATATGAAGATGGAAAGCTAGGACACCAGAGAGCGGGGTGGAGAGGAGGCATCTGTCCCAGACACTGTTGGAGCAGACTGCACATCACAGCAGGCTTGCTGATGGCCTCATAAGCTCCTGCCTGCCTCCCCGTTAGACTGCAAGTTTCTGAGTGCTGTGGTACCTGGTGCTGGGTGCTGATAACCTTGGAGAATCTTGGGGTGACACAGAGGAAGTCAGGACAAATCAGAATGGAACTCTCTTAAGTGGAGCCTGACTCCCCACTGGGGTAGAGGGCAGGGGTCTCACTGGGCAGCCTCCGTTCCTTAGTAATGTGCAAGGCATTCGAGGTCACTGAGGTTGCATACTTCTCAGGCCTGGTTTAGAATAGTTATCTCGCAGTCTAGAGGGAACCTTTTCAGAAGGAGGTTAGGCTGTGGTGCTGCCCCAGGGAGGACTCAGTGTCAAGGTCCTTTAAGTGTTGCTGCATAATGGCCCTCACATGGGCAGGCTGTGGACAGCACTGAACTGCCTGAACCTGTCTCAAGGGGCTGCCACAGAAGATGCAGTGGGATTCAGCCATGGTCTTTCCAGCCGAGGCCCCTCACAGCAGGGCCCTGGAGCAGCAGGAATGCAGACCTATCTGAGGGGTGTGTGCGGTGCTTCTGTCCATGGGCCTCATTGCCACATGGGGCCATCCTAAGGCCCAGGTCCCACTTTTAGGGCCATGGTCCCAACCAGAGTCCTAGGGTCAGGATCTGCTGGCTTTGCTATCCAACTGCGCCCACCCCATCGGCCTCAGGAGTTCAGCAGAGTGTGGGGAGGAATTGATGACAGGGTCCTGGGACACAGAAGGGCAGGTGGAAGGAATCTGGGCTGTCCCCAGGTCCCTGTGTTTCTGGTGTGCACTCTAAGGAGATTGTGGGGGGTCAGCGAAGCTCGGAAGTAGGGCTCTCAGTCTGCTCCAGCTCTGCACTGGGACTTCCTCAGAAAGACCAAAGAACCAGAGAGAGCGAGAGGTTACACGAAGGAAGCATAGCCAGCAAAGTATGCCTTGAGTCTCTGGGAGAATAGGGCCTGGTCCCCAGTCTGCTCGCTGGCGGATTGACCCTGGGATTTTATCCCGGAAGGGGCAAAGCTGTAGGTGCAGCACCAAGCCTCCAGAGGGCGCCAATCTGCTGCCTTTCAGGCAGGCGCTGACAACCAGTTGAGCAGAACGAAGCCGGTTGGCCTCCCTACCTCGGGGGCAGAGACCAAGGTGATCCCCGGGCCATAAGCCCGACTGACAGCACCAGAGTGCTTCCGCAGCCACTGTGCACTCAATAGGCGAAGATCTGTGCCCGTTTCCTTGGCTTCAGGGAACGGCCTCTCCGTGCCCACCGCCTCTTATTCTAGCTTGCCAGGGACCCGGCTTCTGGCATCGGGCTGCAGCCAGACCCTGCAGGACAGGCGCCGCCTTTCCCTCACCCAGGGCGCAGGGTGCAGGCCGAGAAGGGCTGACCTGTGCTCCAATTCAGGACTGCCCCCACCAGCTGTGACCTTGACAAATAGCTTCTCTTGGGTCTGGGTCCCTCTAGGGGTGGAGGGGTTGGGGGCCTAGGAGGGCCTCAGGGTCTCTGCCCCAGGGCCTCCTCTGGGTCCTGTGTGACCCTGTGGGTGCCCCCAAAGTCAAGAGGGGCACAAGCTCCCTGGGTCCAGGCTCTGGGACACCCTCTTCCGACAAGTGCAGGTCTCCCACATGCTGAACCTCTCTGGCTTCTTACACGCGCCCCCCCCCCCAACCCCTTTCCTTTCCGGGATGAAATTCCTGCCAGTTCGGAAAGGAGGGAAGGGGAGCGAGCCGCAGCGCAGAAAGTTTCCTTGACTCCTCCTCCGCCTGCCTGTCTCCCTCCCTCGCCAAGCCCAGCCTGTGAAACTGAATAACGAAGATCACTCAACAATGCCTGCCCCTCTCTGACTGCAAGGTCTCTGTGCTCCTGCTGCTGCTGCCGGCTCCGAGCGGACCCCGCAGGGCGGTCCCCACCGACGGCGCAGCCCTCGGGTCTGGTAGTGGGACGGGGCGCGAGCCCCAGAGACCCCTGCACCCGTGCGCTCGCCGGTGCACCCGCCAGGTGCCCCGCAGCCCGGCTGCGAGATGCCCAGCCCACCCGGGTACTGGGCGCTGTGGCTCTGTACCGCACTGTGCACCTCCCGGTGCGCGGGCGGTGGTCCCCAGCCTGGCCAGGGGCGCACAACCTGCCCGGCCCCCTGCCACTGCCAGGAGGATGGCATCATGCTGTCAGCCGACTGCTCGGAGCTCGGGCTCTCCACTGTGCCAGGGGACTTGGACCCCCTGACAGCTTACCTGTGAGTACTTGCCCAAGGACCCTCCCTGCCCACTAGCGCAATGTTCCGACAACCGTCAATGGCACCTGCCCCTTTGGTGCCCTGAGGTGTGGGTATCGCGAGGAGGGCTCTTTCCCTTCCAAGTCAGGACCGGGAGGAGAAAAGAATCTGGGGCTAAGGATCAGGCACCAGTGAGCCCCACTTTCCTGTTGGGGTTCCATGAAAGCCCAGACCTGGCAAGGTGGGCTATGGACTCTGGGCAGGAGGGCAGGGCTTGGCGCCCTTGTCTTGCAGTCTTTGTCAGCAGAGCAGTGCCCAGGACAGTGACCGAGGGCAGCACTGACATTCCTGGTGGTGGAGGTGAGGGGAGTGTGCTGAGGTGGGTGGAGATGAGATGGGTCCTTCTGCCTTGCCAAGGAGAGCAGAGCTTGGTGTGGGGTCCAAGTAGCAGGGGGGGGGGGCTGGCCTACTGTAGGCTCCTCAGAAAGGGACTCCACCAGTTCCATCTCCCTCTGTTGAGCCCCCTGCCCCTCAGAGGCCTCCCTGGAGTTGTGTCCCAGGAGGCTGTGTTGGAGACACTAATTTGTGGGCAGGCGCCGAGGCTGAAAACCAGAGAACCATTTTTAGAGTCTGAGTTGGGGTGAGATGGTGCGTGAAGGGGACCCTATTGGGGGCAGCCATCCTGGGACAGCTCAGAGGAGCTTCCCCTCAGAGCTGGAGGAGGGTAGGGGGCTCCAGATCCTCAGCACCTGGGCAGGAGAGGGGTGTGAAAGCACATTCCAGACCACCTGCCTCTACTCCATGCTGGGCTCTAGGGATGGGAACCCTCCTCTGGCCTCACCCTGCCCAGGAAGGTCCTCAGTGGGGCAGCAGTGGGAGTCTAAGGACACTTCCTCAGGGATAGGATCCTACAAGTATTCCTGGCCCTGTGCAACTCTGGCACCTGGGACAGGAGAGCCCTCTGGAAGGGAGAATAGGACTAATATTTACAGAGCTCAGCAAAAGTACAACAAGCCAGGCATGGTGGTGCACATCTATAATCCCAGGACTCAGGAGGCTGGGGCAGGAGGATCACTGCAAGTTTGAGGCCAGTCTGGGCTACATAGTGAGTTCAAGGCCAGTTTGAGCTACATAGCAAGATCCCACCTGAAACAAACAAACAAACAAACAAACAAACAAACAAACAGTATAGGGGACTAAATGCGATCAGGGTGCTTAAGATTGGCAGTGTCCTGATTGATGTGAAGATACTAAGAGCAATTCCCCACGGGGCTTTCTTCCCCAACTTCTGTCACCAGCTGAAATGTTCTCATCCACTTCAAAAAGCACAAGCTGTGTGCCAGGGGAGAGAGAGGAGGAGGAGAAAATAATGTCCATGTTCCAGAGAAGCAAACTGAGTCCTGTACCATCCAGGTTTTGATGGCAGAGGAAGCCACAGGAATTCAAGGCCAAAACTGACAGAGTGGACAGCTGGCAGGGCAGCCCTGGTCTAGTAGTGTTATATACTGAAGGCAGATGATATGGTGCCATTGGAAGACACTGTGGTTAAAAGGGTTTGGAAATGACTTCTGTTGAGCCTACATGGCATGGGGGGTGATCCCTTGCCCAGGTTAAAGGAGCAGAGGCTGTAGGGGAGTCCCAGCTTCTTTCCCAGAATCCAAGTCTTCCCGGACTCACCCATGATCCTTTTTCCTGCAGGTATTAGGAAGGAGGTCAAGGGCCACTTTGCAGATCCAAGTGTCCCGCCATGCATGCAGAGATTTTCCCCACTGTCTGGACACCATGCCCTGGGATGTGTGAATACCTTTAGGTTCAGTGGAGGTGGGACCGAGCTGGTCCTGAGTTTCCCTAGGTATTAAGAAAGCTTTCAGGGAGCTAAGGTTGTAGCTCAGCAGCACCACATTTGCCTGGGAACTGCAAGGTCTGAGTTCAATTCCTGGTATTAAGAAAAGAAATAAGAAAGAAAGAAAGAAAGAAAGAGAGAGAGAGAGAGAGAGAGAGAGAGAGAGAGAGAGAAGAAAGAAAGAAAGAAAGAAAGGAAGAAAGAAAGAAAGAAAGAAAGAAAAAATTTCTAGGAACAGGAGAGGGTGGAGCTGGAGCTGGGTCCCAATACGATGTGGGGACTTCAGTAGCCAAGGGCCTGGGACATTTGAGGGAGGTGGAGAAGACCTCGCCCTCTTCCTTGAGTTGTGCAGGAGTTGTACTGGATGGTGGGCTGCTGCATGGAGGGGAGACATTTCTCCTCAGGCTCCAAAGGCCTCTGAAGTGGAGCCATGGCAAGGGTACCAGGAGGCTACCCCAGGAGGCTTGGGCTCTGTCACCTTTCGGTGTTTGGAGATGCTGGCCCTGAAGAAGCTGCCTCTGTTTCCTTTTCGGAACTCCTTGATTCTACCTTGATACTGGACCTGCTCCCCCATCCCAGGGTGGTGAGAGCCCCCGCTTCTAGTGATGTCGCTTCAGTGATGTCGCTGCCCTACCTGTCTCCATTACCGGTTCCAGAAAAGACCGGGAAGTTTTACATCCTTTGCTTTGACGCTCAAGTTCAAAAGCTGTGACTGTTCTGGGGCTCAGTGGCAAGACTGTCTGGTCTTGGGTGGGAGAGTAGACTTCACTTATTCACAATGTCTCTTATTCAAGTGTCTCTTTTAAAACGTCTCCTGGGTCAGGTGTGGTGTCACATGCCCATAATTCCAGTGAGCGAGGAGGCTGAAGCAGGGGGACTGCGAATTTGAGCCTAGCCGGGACAACTTGGCAAGACCCTGCCCCTAAATTTAAAAAGAGCTGGAGCTGTCCTCAGTGGGAGAGTGTTTACCTAGCATGTATGAGGCTCTAGCTGCAAACCTCAGTATTTAAAAAAGATTCTCTCCTCAGAGGCTCAGTGAGACTTGAGAGGTTGCACAGCCCAACCCACAAGGCTCTTCAGGGAAAGGGCTGAGGAGGAGCTGGGGCTTTGGCTCTGGTGCCTGATGGTTAGGAGAAGGAGTCGTGTCTCTTACTCGACTCTGTCATACATGCACACGACGGGGAGACAGAAATATAGATTGCACATATCTGCTGGGCACAGACGACCTAGCACTGTCTCAGACTTGGAGGCACAGGGTAGCTCTCGGAATCCTCCTTCTGCTCCTAAAGCTGAGAAAAGCCTCGTGGGCAGCTAGCTAGAAAAGACCTAAGGCTCAAGCACACACAAGCACCCTTCGCACCCCTTCCCTCCCCACCCTGAACTGCTTTCTTGGGGATTCAGACTCATGTGAAAGTCCATGTGTACAGATTCAGGGTAACCTTCAGCCTCATCACTGTGGCTCTGGATGTCTGTAACCAAAAAGATGGAGGTGGGATATTGAGGGGGAAGAGAGCTAGAAGGCTTAAATCTTAAGAGTCAGGCGCTGCTGGGTGTGGCGGTGCATACTTGTAATTCTAGCACTGACAAGGCTGAGGCAGGAGGATTTCTTTGAATTCAAAGCCAGCTTGGACCACATAGTAAAACCCTGTCTCATAAAACAAAACAAATCAAAAAGTCAAGCACTGACCACACTGTGCTGGCTTGAGCCATTGCTTCCCAGTTGTATGAACCTGAGCCAGTTCGTTTGTCCCTCTGTGTCCACTCAGTTTCCTAACCTATAAAGGGAGCTAATATTGGCCCCCACAGGCTGCTGTGCGGGTTCACTGATGAATGTTTGTAGAGAGTTTGGCACGTGGTCTGGCCGGTGGAAAAGCTCATTGAGTGTTAGCCAGTGTTGTTATTAGGGGACCAGGGCCGGGAGGCGCCAGTCACAGAAGTCCTCCTGCGGGAGGTGGCCCAGGAGCTACCTCTGACAGGAGAGGAGCAGTACTGATCTATGAGAGGTGTGCTGCACCTGTTGGGGACTGTGACAAGCGAGACTGTGGCTGGCAAGGACAGCCAGCGTGAGCAAATGGGATCCAAAGTGGCCTTCTATGTGTTTCCTTGCTGGTAGGCTTAGGGCCTTCTGCAGCAGGGAGGCAGGGACTGAAGGAAGACCCCAGCGCACCTCCAGCATTTCCCAGATGGGGTCCCACAGCCCATCAGGCAGCAGAGGGCGTGTGGTTGTGGTGGGGGAGAGCTGGCCCTGTGAGGCGCGCCCGTGGGGTCGGTGTACTGGACTTTGCTGTCACTGGGGCTCCTTTCCTGCCAGTTCAGGTGCCTTCCCAATGGGCTCTAAGAGCCTGCCCCTGTGCTGCAAACATAGGGTTCCAGAGTTCTAACTAACCCTCGGTGTCTCCGTTGCTAGAAGACCCTATGCAAGTCCTAAAACTTCTCTGAACCTTAGTGCTTTGGTTGAAAACTAGAAAGAAAAAGAGCAATCACCGATTGCTGGTGTAGGACAGAGGACCCCTGGCCTCCAGCGTTTGCGGGGGTGGGGGTGGGGTGTGGTGGCAGGCGCTGGGAGTGGGGCAGGGGGAGGGTCCAGCCAGCACCACGCAGCCCGGAGCAGAGAGAGGAAGGCAAGGAGGGCTAGAGTGAGTCCAGGAAATGGGGTCCTCTAGGACCTCCCCTGCGGCCGGGGAAGGGACAGGCCCATCAGAGGGTCTCTGGAGGAGAGAGTGGGGAGCCAACACCCCAGTTCAAAGGGAAGGCAGGAAACAGCCCTAGGCAAAAGAAAAAGGAAACCTCTGGGCTCTGGCAGCAGCGGGCATGGGGTGCGGCCGGGTGGGGTGGCTGGCGGAGGAGAAGAAAGCCTGGCTGGGAGCACAGTTGGCTCCCGGCCTACCCCTCTCAGTCCCGCCTTCTCCTTGCGCGGGCTCTCAACCCTGATGGCCCCACACGCGATGCAGCCTGTTCCCCACCCCGACCTGGGCCCTCCAGGGACAGAGAGCATAGAGTCCGGGGGGAGGGCATCCAGATGCGCACCCCGCCAGACCTCGGGGGTATCTGGGCCCTGGAGGGTGGCCCTGGCTTCAGTCTTGGCTCTGCCGTGCATGTGCTGCAAGTCTTTGGGGGGAACCAGTCCACTGTTCTGGTTTCAGCTGCTAAATCTTTCAAGTAGAAACACTAACAGTAT